TCTATTTTTTGATATTTGCGTACATTCTCTATAGTCTTTCTATAGTTTGCATTACCAAGGAGCTTATACATATTTTTCTCAAAATCATTCTTAGCTAAAAGCATGAAATCTTGCTAATTCTTTCATAAAAGGCTTCATCTATGTACTTTGGTTAAATTCTATAGCTCGGTGAATTTTGGTAAATACTATTCTCTGCTTTATATAAAATTGTAATGCTCAATAATCAACTATATACTTTTTCTTATTATTGAGATTTGGAATAAGTTTTTTAGTTTTTGTATATGTTTTAAATCATTAATAATCTCTTGTTTATACTTACTTATTTTCTCTTTAGAAATCTTGATATTTTCAGAAGCTAAAGAATATGAAGTATAAGCTTTGTGTAATTTATATGAATAGTCAAGATCAACTTCCAAAATATAGCTTTTTTCTGCATTATCAGGGATCTCTCATTTGGTAATTTTATTAAAAAGATCTAAAGTTTCTTCTGGCATTATTCATCTTAGAGTTTCAATTCAGATAAATCTGTCATCTGTTTATCCATATCCAATCATCCGGATAATCTAAATTGCCTTGATATCCAGATAATCTGAAGGGTAATCAGATAATTATCTGGATATTAATAATAAAACAGATATTCAAATAAATTCAGATTCAGATATCTGATAGATAAATGGATAAATGGATAATAAATTTAAACACTAATTCATCTATATCTCTCTGTTGGCATAAATTGCATCATTGCTCCAGTATATAATGCATTGGCATCAACATATAATAGCCAAGTATAGAGTTTTTTTATGACTTCTTCTGACTTTGAAACAAAATCAGGATATTGTAGATTATTAGCTTTAACTTGATGATTGCTTACTATTGAAATACCTTCTTAAATATCTTTTTCACAGAAGAGGTATATATTATTATCAGTAAATAGCTTAATCTCTTGTCCTGTAGTTTTATATAAAGCATTTTCTGCAAATGAAGTAAGAGAAACATAGTGAGCAATATCTAATCCAAATCTACCTTTCATTAATTTGCGAAATCCTTCTAAACAATCTGCTAATAATAGTATGTTAAGATTAAGATAGAAGTCGTGATAATCTCTGAATGTTTTCATATCAAAAGATTTTCATACCTCCTGTACTATTTTATAGGCTTTTTCTAAACATTTGGATTTGTTAAGAATACTGCCAAAAGCCTCAATAGAAGGAAAAGAAGTAGCATTCATTTTTTCTGGTGTATTAAACCAATCATATGGAAAAGGAGCTTTATGAAATACCAAGTCATTCCTTCCTTTTGATCCATATTTTCTAGTTATGGGAAATCTCTCTGGATGAGCAAAACATCTATTTGAGTCAATTCGATAAAGATGATTAGGCTTTTTACATGGTAAGTTTAAAGAATTTCCATCTTTATTTACATCCTCTTTATATAGTTCAGCTCTTAAGTTAGATATATGAGAATCAAGATATCCAGATATAAGTTGTAAAGAATCTATATATCTTTGATTTCCAATATCGAGAATAAAATAACTTTCCATATTATAAAGAATTGCACTTATCTTTTCTTTGCTTACTTGTCTCATAGCTTGGAAAATAAGATGAGCATCAAACTTATCTAAATTATGGAAATGAATTAGTAATTTAAACTCTTCTGGTTTGATTCGTAGTTGGAGATTACAAATAACAAATACTATGGGCTAGACCTCTATAGTTATTTATAATATGGTTATGGTCTTGAACTTTTTTAAGATTATCTTCTTTTTCAAATAGTTTTTCACATATCTAACATTCTTTAGTCAAATTATGCATTTTTTCTTCTTAAGTAATTAATTTTTTCATTGGTTTTCCAGGCCATCGAGGCCTACAATAAATTGTACAGTCAAACCCTTTATAGTCACCTTCTCTATAGTTACAAAATTAATATAATTATAATTTTATTTTTACCAATTATTTAGAACTATATAGAAAATACCTCTATATTAATCACACCTCTTTATAATCACAGCTTTTTGTATCCCAAAGGTGTGACTATAGAGGGGTTTGACTATATTTGCTAAACAATATATTATTCCTATATCTACTCCAAGAGGATCTCTTTTATAAGCTTAGTAAAAACCTTTTAAATAATGTTTAAGATGAATTAATTTCTCATATTCTTTACTGAAATTGAGATTAATTTTACCTAATTCCCATGATTGAAATATATTAATACTGGTAATATAATCTTTTGTTATCTCTTCTGGTATTATTTCTGATTACAACATTTTGATTAATTTTTTTACAGAATTTTGTATTATATGACCTCCTGCAAGAAAATTTTGACATTGTACTACTTCTTTTTCTATTGCTTTAATAAATTCTCTAGCAAAATCGTTACCTCTAATTTTTACTGATACTTTTGTTTTGCCATCACTATGCCTAATTATATAATCAAATGATATAACTTATGTTCTTGGATTGCTATTGTTTTCGATCCTTGATTTTTTTCAATCAAAGTAGGGATATTTCAGCATCTGCTATGCAAGTAAAAGGTGCATCTAATATTTGTTCATATCATCTAAATTTATATATATTCTTGTCTACCAATAGTATTACTGTTCTTTGAACTGGAGTATTAATTCCTTTACAATCTTTTATCTGCTAAGCATCAATCTTGGGATTATGGGTTCAGTAGCTTACACAATAATCACAAACATATAACCTGCCATTGTGTTTAGTCGTATATTCTTCTAATTTTTCTAATTCTTCTTTTTCTTGAATCAAACAATAATATTGAGATGGCTCTCCTGTTTCGAGATCATTTCTAGTAATTAATAAAAGCCTAATCAATTTACGTAGTTAACAATTTCTTTCTTTATAATTACATCTATTATGTACTTTGAATTTAGATACAATTCTAATTAGAATAAGTTCTTTTTTACTCTATCTATAAATTGATACTGATATAGATGGATTTTGTTTCTCAAATTTCTTTATTATATCATTGTCAGCTTTTACTGAAAATTGAATCTCTTTAAAATTTACCTCACCTAAATGAGGATTTTGATTTTGAGGTCGCTCTTGATAATAAGAAGCTGGATATAAATCTTATAAAATATATCATTCAAAGCATCGATTATCTTCATTCTTAATATTAATAATTTTGGTATTCCTTTAGGTAATGAAAGATGAAAAGTAGCAGTTAATGGAATGAAGATTAGCATTTCAATATTTACTTCTTCTGATACTTTATAAATCTAGCCTGAGCCTTCAACAATATAAGTTTCTATTCGATTTTCAATATTCCAAATAAATTCATCTACAATTCTTGAGATATCTTCTTTAGCAGTTACTACTACTGCTTTATTTTTGAATAGAACTTTTTTAAAATCTATATCATCACTGAGATTTACCAAATCAAAATCCAACTCCATCAGCTAATCCAGAAATAGAATTTCTTAAT